TGACAGATGACTAAATTGCTAATCTCCCCTTACCGGCATGTCAGCGATCGCTGCTCATGAAGCAAAAACAAAGTAAATGCCACTGACATTCCTGTCTGATTTATACAGCTGGGAGACCAAAGTTTTCCTTTCTTTAGAAAAGTTTGCTTTGATGGAGTATTTATTTCTTTACACGCTTTTCTTATTTGGTCTAAAAAACACAGGATCTTATTAGACTCATTCAGTAAGGCAAAGAGCATTCTGCAAGGAGCAGGAAGACATAGTAACAAATACAATTCCTTAAACAGACGTATAGTGGAAAAGTATAGGTGAACCCTCACTTTGAAAAACAACCCATTAAGTTTAACTTTCTTCTCCTTTTTTATAAGCGATCACATACCCTCTGTTCTCAGCTGCATAAGAGCTGGGAGAGGAGAAACAGTAGCACACTGATCATTGGAGGAGAGCAGGCTGAGGTCCCAGCACAGCTAGAGAACTGACCATGCCGTGCTCAATGTGGTCAATTTTTAATAGGAAAGCAGAGAGACTGGCAGGAACATCAGGGATTTCACACAAAGGAAGCAACACAAAGAGAAAAGGATGCTTCTTCATAAAAGTACATGGTACAGCAGGCACATATCAGGAATATGAAATGCTGGATTTACATATTCTTTAAACCAATAAAAAAAAGCAAAAACGTTGACTGGTAGAATTTTTATGACAGAAAAGACTCTGGTCTCTTCTGTAATAAACCCTTTCTTCCTGCCTGTCAGCATTTACTGTATGTATACTGAGCTGTACATGGGCAGCTCAGTTGCGTTTATGGCACCGCCAATTTACATTTATGGCAGCCCGGCCAACCAAGCGATCGAATAATCGGAGTCTGGAATTAACAACGGGTGACAGCAGCGGTAGAAGATGACAGTGCCCGTGACCAACAGGAATGATGCCAGTGCAGTGCTGGAGGGGATCGCTATCTAGGTAAGTCTGACATAATGTGCTAACATTCTATCCATCTAAGAAAATTAGAGCTAAAAGCCCAATTAAAAAAAAAAATTGTGAAGGTTTAACTCCGCTTTAACTGCAAACTGCAATATGACAGGTTGCTATGAGTTACTGCCCTTTGCATGTCATTATTCCAATGCTTTAAAAAGGAGGTATAATGAAATGTTAAAACAGAGATCCATGTAAATTAACAAGATAAAAATAAATAATGCAATAGAAGATAAAACAACAAAACCAGCTTTTCCTGGCAATACTCGCTTTCAGTTTACAGATTTACCCCCTCTGTACTTTATTCCTGCCAATAGATGTCAGTCTGGTGGTCTGCACCATCCAACCCACTTCCTATGGACCAGCCCCAGCTGACAGACAGAAGCCCTATTTCTCCACTGGAGAAAGTAAAAAAAAAGGTGAAGTGTGGAGAGCTCTATGAAAGGAAGAGGTCACATCGGTCTCTGTATAAGAAGAGCTTACACTCTAATGTCCCCCCCAGGAGCGGACTGACAACTCATGGGGCCCCCGGGCAATAGTGGATCATGGGGCCCCTGTGTCCTTGCTCAAACTCAAAAAAGTCTATGAAAAAGGTAACAGGGGCATCTCATGGGGCCCCCTACTGACCCCGGGCCCTCGGGCAGTGTCCGAGTTTCCAAATGGTCAGTCCGCCCCTGGTCCCCCCACAGTCACACACTATTATTATTATACATTGATATAGCTCTGACATATACCATAGTGCTGTACAGAAAACACTGAGCCAGTCACATCAGTCTCTGCACCAGAGGAGCTTACACTCTAATGCCCCACACAGTCACACACTATTATTATTATACATTGTTATAGCTCTGACATATACCATAGTGCTGTACAGAGAATACTGAGCCAGACACATCATCTCTGCACCAGAGGAGCTTACACTCTAATGCCCCACACAGTCACACACTATTATTATTATACATTGTTATAGCTCTGACATATACCACAGTGCTGTACAGAGAATACTGAGCCAGACACATCATCTCTGCACCAGAGGAGCTTACACTCTAATGCCCCACCACAGTTAACTTTGTGGTTTTCAGCCTGCAAGCGTTTTATAAATATATGCATTCTTCTCTCCCTATAATTTCCTAGCGGTTGGGGCATGCTGGGACATGCAGTTCCTCAGCAGGGTGCCAATGAGCGGGTGATGACTCCTATGTGTGAACAGTGCCCCCAATAGATAAAGGAAGCATGTGACCTGCAGCCTTGTAGCTGCGCTGTTACAACCAGATGCTAGCTAATCTGTATATAGTTTGGAAAGGGACCAAGTGAACAGCGATGGCAGTGACCCCGCGCTCACAGGATATCAGGCTGGGGGGAAAAAAACAATTTACAGGACAGGGAGGCAATGAGAGAACGTTACATGTACAACTGTACTGAGGCGGAATCCCTTTACATGTCGTGATGCCCTAGAGTCGCGCTTTTCTTTCTACCTCGCCCATCCAGCTCAGATGGGTTCATTATTTAAATTGCACTCCTTATTTTCTCTCATGATCATTTTCTCCTAAAAATATCCAATTCACAAACATAAATATCACTTTTGGTCATTGGGATTTTTCCACTTGAAATTAACACTTACAGTGGATATAAAAAGTCTACACACCCCTGTTAAAACGTCAGGTTTCTGTGATGTAAAAAAATTAGACAAACAGAAATAATTTCAGAACTTTTTCCACCTTTAATGTGACCTAAAAAATGTACAACTGAATTAAAAAAAAAACTGAAATCCTTTCGGGGGATAAACATTAAAAACTAAAATAATGTGGTTGCATAAGTGTGCACACCCTATGATAACTGGGGATGTAGCTGTGTTCAGAATTAAGCAATCACATTCAAATCATGGTAAATAGGAGTAGGTACACACCTGCCATCATTTAAAGTGTCTCTGATTAACCACAAATAAAGTTCAGCTGTTCTAGTAGGTCTTTCCTGACATTTTCTTAGTCTCATTCTACAGCAAAAACCATGGTCTGCAGAGAGCTTCCAAAGCATCAGAGGGATCTCGTTGTTACAAGGTATCAGTCAGGAGAAGGGTACAAAAGAATTTTCAAGGCATTAGATGTACCATGAAACACAGTGAAGAAAGGCATCATCAAGTGGAGAAAATATGGCGCAACATTACATTACCAAGAACTGGACGTCCCTCCAAAATGGATGAAAAGACGAGAAGAAAACTGGTCTGGGAGGCTGTCAAGAGGCCTACAACATTAAAGGAGCTGCAGGAATATCTGGCAAGTACTTACTTTGTGGTACATGTGGCAACAATCTCCCGTGTTCTTCATATGTCTGGGCTATGGGTTAGAGTGGCAAGACAGAAGCCTTTTCTTACAAAGAAAAACATCCAAGCCCGGCTAAATTTGCAAAAACACATCTCAAGTCTCCCAAAAGCATGTGGGAAAATGTGTTATGCTCTGATGAAACCAAGGTTGAACTTTTTGGCCATAATTCCAAAAGATATGTTTGGCGCAAAAACAACACTACACATCACCAAAAGAATACCATACCCACAGTGAAGCATGGTGGTGGCAGCATCATGCTTTAGGGCTGTTTTTCTTCAGCTGGAACTGGGGCCTTAATCAAGGTAGAGAGAATTATGAACAGTTCCAAATACCAGTCAATATTGGCATGAAACCAGCTTGGCCAGACACTGATAAGTCACAAGACTGCTATATACTGCTGATCAGAAAAGGTATTTAGCTGTTTATATTTACTAATATAATTGCATTTCCATGTCCTGCATACTGCGGCAGACCAGATATAGTGAATGCAGGGTCTGAGGGGATCAGATATAGTGAATGCAGGGTCCGGGGAGACCAGATATAGTGAATGCAGGGTCCAGGAGGACCAGATATAGTGAATACAGGGTCCGGAGGGACCAGATATAGTGAAGTGAATGACCAGGTATAGTGAATGGTCCTGGGGGGACCAGATATAGTGAATGCAGGGTCCGGGGGAGACCAGTGGGGGACCAGATATAGTGAATGCAGGGTCCAGGGGGACCAGATATAGTGAATGCAGGGTCCAGGAGGACCAGATATAGTGAATACAGGGTCCGGGGGGAACCAGATATAATGAATGCAGGGTCCGGGGGGACCAGATATAATGAATGCAGGATCCAGGGAGAGCGGATATAGTGAATTCAGGGTCCGGGGAGACCTGATATAGTGAATGCAGAGTCCGAGGAGACCGGATATAGTGAATGCAGGGTCCAGGGAGAGCGGATATAGTGAATTCAGGGTCCGGGGAGACCTGATATAGTGAATGCAGAGTCCGAGGAGACCGGATATAGTGAACGCAGGGTCCGGGGGGAACCAGATATAATGAATGCAGGGTCCGGGGGGACCAGATATAATGAATGCAGGATCCGGGGAGACCAGATATAGTGAATGCAGGGTCCGGGGAGACCAGATATAAGTGAATGCAGGATCCGGGGAGACCAGATATAATGAATGCAGGGTCCGGGGGGAACCAGATATAATGAATGCAGGGTCCGGGGGGACCAGATATAATGAATGCAGGATCCGGGGGAGACCAGATATAATGAATGCAGGGTCCGGGGGGACCAGATATAATGAATGCAGGGTCCTGGGTTTAGTAACACTTTAAACTTAGGCTTTAACAATCTTGCTGGAACGGATAAAAAAAATAAAAACAGAGGGGAAGAAATACCTTTCCTGGGGAAAATGCTGCTCTGGGCCCCTTCCAGATCTGCTCACAAAAAAAGTCTAAGCATTTAGTCACAAGATTCCTGCAATGCAGTTTAAAGAGGAGAACATATTCATATTCAACTCTTTCCCCTTCCTCTGCATTCCGCAAGCATGCCTCTTCTTTTTACATGGAGGGATATAAATAATTTTGACGTTTTGTATTAACTCACCCTAGAAAACAGTGACCAGCTTCCATTCTTGAAATGTTATTTTACAAAATAATTATTTATCTACACGCCGCCTAAGATGTTTAATTAGCCTGGACATGAAAGAACCTACCTCTAACTCTAGTTCGTCTCTGTCGATGTCTTGGTGCAAGCCTCCCATGAAGTCATTGGGGTCAAAGTATTCATGAAGTGGCGAGTGCCTAGAAAAAAAGAAAATGGCAAAGATTTCAGAACACGCCCCTTTCTCTACCTAATGAGCAATTATTCCGTTATTCCCATTTGCATAAAGATCTCTTGTCAAAAGTGCAGAGACCTCTGACCCGTATTATTCATAATTAAAACATGCTAAATAGTCTGATGAACAGATAATAAGAGGGATCCTTTGATATTATTTGTCTAGGATAGAACTGGATTCCGTTACCTTTGAAATGCTAAAATTCATTAATAGAACAGGAAGGCGTGCGCGGAGCGAGTGCACGAGCTGTAAGCTGCTATTTCTCATTATACCGGAAGCCAGAAAAATGACTGAAAAATAACAACTGAGCCAAAGCAACAACTTGTGTCGCATTTAATCATATCGTATTTATAGTTTATACTGTTGATTCATTTAGAGTAGTGATGGGTCGAACACCCCCCTGTTCGTTTCGCAGTCGAACATTAGAACCTAACGAAAGTTTGACCGCAAACCTCAAACAGGGACAATTCATTAAGCTGTATATTACCGCATCTGAGTATGCAGTAAGATACCGCACAGCTACTAAAATACCACATGAGTTCTGCACTGCTCAAAAAAATGAAAGGAACACATTTTAATCAGAGTATAGCATCAAGTCAATGAAACTCCTGGGATATTGATCTGGTCAGTTAAGTAGCAGAGGGGGTTGTTAATCAGTTTCAGCTGCTTTGGTGTTAATGAAATTAACAACAGGTGTACTAGATGGGCAACAGTGAGGCAACCCCCAAAACAGGATTTTACAGGTGGAGGCCACTAACATTTTTTTCCCTACTCATCTTTTCTGACTGTTTTTCACTAGTTTTGCATTTGGCTAGGGTCAGTGTCACTACTGGTAGCATGAGGCCTTACTTGGATCCTACAGAGGTTGCACAGGCAGTTCAACTCCTCTAGGATGGCACATCAATATGTACCATTTCCAGAAGGTTTGCTGTGTCTCCCAGCACAGTCTCAAGAGCATGGAGAAGATTACAGGAGACAGGCAGTTACTCTGGGAGAGCTGGACAGGGACGTAGAAGGTCCTTAACCCATCAACAGGGCCGATATCTGCTCCTTTGTGCAAGGAGGAACAGGGTGAGCACTGCCAGAGCCCTACAAAATGACCTCCAGCAGGCCACTGGTGTGAATGTCTCTGACCAAACAATCAGAAACAGACTTCTCTGAGGGCCCAACGTCCTCTAGTGGGCCCTGTGCTCACTGCCCAGCAGCACATGTGACAGACGTAAAAGGGTCTGAAGAAGCCATGGAGAACATTATGTTGCCTGTAACATCGTTCAGCATGGCCGTTTTGGTGGTGGGTCAGTGAGGGTCTGGAGAGGCATATCCATGAAGGGATGCACAGACCTCTACAGGCTAGATAATGGCACTCTGACTGCCATTAGGTATCTGGATGAAATCCTTGGACCCACTGTCAGACCCTACGCTGGTGCAGTGGGTCCTGGGTTCCTCCTGGTGCATGACAATGCCCGACCTCATGTGGTGAGAGTATGCAGGCAGTTCCTGGAAGATGAAGGAATTGATACCATTGAATGGCCCCCACACTCGCCTGACCTAAATCCAATAGAACAGATATCATGATTCGGTCCATCCAACTCCACCAGGTTGCACCTCAGACAGTCCAGGAGCGCAGTGATGCCCTGGTCCAGATCTGGGAGGAAATACCCCAGGACACCATCCGTTGTTTCATTAGGAGCATGCCCCGATGTTGATAGGCATGCATACAAGCACGTGGGGGCCATACAAAGTACTGACCCCCATTTTGAGTTGCTGCAATGAAATTTCAGCAAAATGGACTAGCCTGCTGCATCATTTTTTCACTTTGATTTTTGGGGTGTCTTTGAATTCAGTCCTCTTTAGGTTGATAATTTTCAATTCCATCAAACAATGGGGAATCCTTACGTGCCTAACACTTTTTACCCAGTCCATATCAGTATATATATCTAGCATGATATTTTTTCCCCATTGAGATCTGATGTGTTTTCAAAGTGTTCCTTTTTTTTGGGCAGTGTATTATTAGGTATTTTATTTGTGAAAATGTTCCTTAATGTTTCAGCAAACAGCGGGGTTCTCCTCTGACAGCTGAATGTAAAAAGAATTGCTGGCAATTAAAAAAAAAAATAAAAAAAGCAGGCACGGGGTCCCCCCCCATCCATACCAAGCCCTTTGGGTCTGGCATGGATGTTGAGGGGAACCCCTACGCCAAAATTTTAAAAACAAAATGGTGTGGGGGTCCCCAGCAAAATCCATTATAGACCCTTATCCAAGCATGCAGTCTGGCAGGTCAGGAAAGGGCCGGGACGAGCGAGTGCCACCCCCCCTCCTGAACCATACCAGGCCACATGCCCTCAACATGGGTGGGGTGCTTTGGGACAGGGGGGACTCCTCCCCCAAAGCACCTTGTCCCCATGTTGATGGCCGTGGCCGGTGGTTGTGGGGGTCTTACCGGAATCTGGAAGCCCCCTTTAACAAGAGGGCCCCCAGATTCCCCCCCCCTTATGTGAATGAGTATGGGATACCTGGTACAGCTACTCATTCACAAAAAAGAAGTGTAGTGTAAAAAAAAATGACAGAAGACAGCCTTTGAGAAGCCCTTTATTAAAAACAAAAATAAAAAAAATGTCCCCTGAAGTAGATCCAACGTCAATCACGAAAAAAAAAAAAAAGAAAATATCTGCACTGCTCTTGGCGCTGGCTCCTGACCGTCTGACAGCTATGCTGGCCTCACAGTTCTTAAATATTTAAGGGGCGGGGTCACCCGGTGATGCCAACTGGTACCGTGATTGGCCACAGCGGTACAGTGCTTTGGCCAGTCAATATGCACTGTCAGAGCGCAGTGCATTGTGGAGCACGGAGGGCGAACAACCCGCCAAATGCCCTAACTGTTCATGTGTTCGCCAAAGACATGAACAGCCGATGTTCGAGTCGAATGTACGTTCGATTCGAACATCAAGAGTAGGACTAAATCCCAAACTTTTTTTTTTTTTTATTGTGGGTCGAGTAATGGAGGGTTATAGCCCCTGTTAATTTTTTTTTGGCCATCTGTGTCCCATTGGGGAGATTTCCCTTCACTTCCTGTCCCATAGTCTCAACAGGAAGAGATAGGAAATTTCTTCAAAGTGAGAGAATCCCTGGTTGTCATAAGAACAAGTGTCCCCACTGGAAGATTTACCTTCTAGTCCTGTTCTGATGACAACTCCAAATTTGGGAGTTTCACACTCGATGTTAATAGTAAACAGGAAATCCCTGGATATCAACGGAATTAATGTCTTCATTGGAAGGATTTCCTCTTTATTCTTGTTCTGGTGGCAACCCAAAATTTGGGATTTTCTTTCACTTTCACTCTCGGTGATAATGGTAAACTGGGCAAATAGAGAGGGTGAATCTCCCAAACAGGGACACAGAGAGCAATAAAGAGCTGACAGGGGTTCTAATCCAACTCTATTCATCCAATACTAAGTAAAAAAGGGTTCCCTTGAAAAGTTAATTCAGAGAAAGGAAAAATGAACTTAAAGTGAGCCTGGGATTAAGTTGGTGGTGGTCCTCAAAAGTCAGGTCAGAGAGGTCAGAATGAAAAAGCAGATTGGAGACCCCTAGAGGGGCCCGAGGTATTCACTGGAAAAAAGGAGGAGAGAGCCCTTATAGTGTAGTATGCAGGGGTGGACTGACCATTTGGAAACTCGGGCACTGCCCGAGGGCCCGGGGTCAGTAGGGGGCCCCATGAGATGCCCCTGGTACCTTTTTCATAGGCTTTTTTGAGTTTGGGCAAGGACACAGGGGCCCCATGATCCCCTATTGCCCGGGGGCCCCATGAGTTGTCAGTCCGCCCCTGATAGTATGTAGTATGTATCTAAACTAAAAATATTACCTCAAATAATTTTTATGATTAGAGAGAAAAAGAAAAAATTACTTCCATCTGGTGAGGTTTCGGTGAACCAGGCAGGTAGGTAGAAAACTGCAACCTTCAGCCAACACAGGTGGAGAAAAGGGCCACGGTTGCAGGACAGTAGTACAGCATTTAGTTAAAACAGGCGGTGAGGCAGCGATATAACGCGTCCTCACCGCCTGTCAAATGATCTCTGAAGAGTGATCCAATACAGATCACTATTCAGTAGGCAACGCAAGTGTAAGCAAGGCCTTCAACAAAGGATTCAGAGCTGATTGGGAAATTTCATACTTCTATATTAAAGTTGTCTCACAATATCTAATAAAGCCTCCAAAGCCTAGTTACCTTAACTGACTTCATACTAAAGGAATATTATTACAAACTGACCAAGTCCTTAAAAGGTCATGTTGCTTGCAGTGGGAGTTGACCATTTGCTTAACCACGAGTCCTATATACTACAATATAACTTGGGATATTCGGTCTCGTCTCTAGAGCTGCATCATGCATGCGGCTGATCTGATCGTCTGTGCCACGCCTTGCAAGCGGGCGGGACTCCGTGGCGAAAAGGCATCTTTAGTTAAGTATTCTTGTTATATTTTCTAATATTTTTACATGTGTTATCTGTATTTGTCATTACTTAAATAAACGTTCTACAGTACAAATGTTTGTTTGATCTCTCTTTTGCACATTCCAAATACAACCCCAAAAACGTAAACCATCACGTACCCGTGATAAAACAAGAATACTACATGGCAATATTTGAATCAATGATAGATCGATTATATGTGATCGCTCGTATATAAAGTGAATACAAATCTCTACGTTTTTGGCCAGCCTTAGATGTGGGTTGCAGCGGCTAAAACTGAAACAAAACACGATGACTCATAATCAGATTTGGCATCTTTCTGTCACCAGTAGACCAAAATCTGCCGTGAAATCCAGTCACAGCAGCTGCTGGGGGGCGGCCTTGACGTTCCGTCTGTGAAAAGCGTTGACAGTCGCTGGCATAGCTCTGGAATGCCTGTCACTCCGATTGTGACCTGCCGGGGCTGCGAAGCTGCGGCGTGTCTGGAGCCCACTGCGCT